TACCTCCAGCACCACTGCTGCAAGCGTGATGACGATGCCGCGGTGGTTTTCTGATGCGTCATTGGGCTTGCCTATGAGGAGATAAAAGATAGCTTATAGAAATATTACTTCAATTTGACACAATTTCCAGCTGCTCATCATAATTCAGCAATTCGATCGGCAAGGACTGATTTTCGTTGGATGTACCTGTTGACTCGTCCCTCTACTCAGGCCACTGGATGATCGGCGACGCCAACTGCACTGCGTTCGGCAATTTGGGCAAGGATCTTAATTTATATATATATATATATATATATATATATATATATATATATATATATATATATATATATATATATATATATATATATACATAATAAATTACAAAATCCGAGTTTTGTCTTGGCAGCAGCCGCGCCCGCCTAATCAACTTTTGTCTGCACCTGAACATCGCTGACCTTACCTTGCTGAATGTACTTTTCGGTCAGCATGCGATAATCATTCGATGATCTTTCCACGATCATTTTTGCATGGCATGGCTACCAAAATGTGTCTTGAGGTTGGCGATTAACATCCCAGTCGGCTGGTTGCTCCTTTGTCCACATCCTTGTTCATTCTGTTTTGGATCCCAGATGGCTTACGCTGGCGCGGTGTGATAACGCTGTGCCACAACTCTCTCTCTCTCTCTCTCCTCTCCTCTCATCTCCTCTCACTCTCTCTCTCTCTCCTCTCCTCTCTCTCTCATCTCTCTCCTCTCTCTCTCTCTCTCTCTCTCTCTCGTTCTCCACTCTCTCTCTCTCTCTCTCTCCTCTCTTCTTCTCTCTCTTCTCTCTCTCTTTATTCTCTCTCTCTCTCTCTCCTCTCTCTCTCTCTCTCCTCTCTCCCTTCTCTCTCTCTCTCTCTTCTCTCTCTCTCTCTCTCTATCTCTCTCTCTCTTCTCTCTCTCTCTCTCACTTCTCTCTCTCTATATCTCTCTCTCTATCTCTCTCTTTCCTCTCTCTCTCTCTATCTCTCTCTCTCTCTCCTCTCTCTCTCTCTCTCTCTCTCTCTCTCTCTCTCTTTCTCTCTCTCCGTGACGCACAACCGGACCTGCTATACATTTGGCTCGATGCATCAGTCTGGTTGAGCGGCCACCATCCTAAAATTGCTTTCAATTAAAGCTGGAAACTGAGCCCATCCTCGACCATGGATGTAACGTCCCTAATAACAGCATTGGAGTGTGGCTAAGGTTCGCGTGGCTTCCGTGATTAGGCCGCAAGCACGTGGCTCCATTTACCAGAGCTGTGATGGAATGATACAGTAGCCTGCCAGCGCGGCAAAGGCAAAGCCATCTGTCACGAAGACGGCTCAGATGCCGGCGGAGCCCTGATTTAAACATGTTTAGTGAAAGGGTGTGACGCCTTTGTACCAATCAAAAGTGCGGGTGAAGTGAATGAATCCCTGAAAAACTCAGTTGTTATAAAAGACACCAGCAAACATCTTTCAGATCCGGCGACGGCCAGATATCACACACACAATGAAAAAAATAACAAAAAAAAATGATGAAATAACTGACGACAAAGAGCTTAAGCTGAGGGAAAAGAAGGCTTGGTAGCATTGCCCTCTTGGTCGCTCTCCAATGGTGATCCACGTGCGACGTATGTGCCATTTCGGAGCGGATCCCACGTGCATGCCGTCACACATCGTCCAACTCCCCACCAGGTGATCTGTAGCGGCAATTCTGAGTATCATTTTCGTCCAGTCAGATTGAAACGATTCGAATAATTTATGTGTATAATCTGAGAGAACTGTACATGCCCTAGTGTTCATTGACACTGGGGCTGGAAGGGTCCAGACGGGCGTAACTCGAGTATTTCTGGGGTAACCGCGCGGAACATGTGTGTGGCCGTCAAGCTCCAGAGACGAGATTTTACGCCGCAAGATTAAGAGGCTAACCTAGTAAAGATATCTCTAAGCTATCTTGATATATTAAAGATATTGTAAAGGTATCTGGAGTACATCCACTCACTTACTTAGCACTTACTTGCGTACGTAATTTACGTGTACGTTGATGCCTGAAGTCTGAAGAAATGTTGAGTGTGTTGATTTGGCATCTCGACTCCCAAAAATCATGGCGTTGAGCCCTCGTACGATGAGTGTCGGTCACCTTGCAGCTGTGCAGTCCCAAAACCGATCCGAATTTCCATGACGAACAGGGTGACGTCTGCAGGCGGACAGCTGATGTTTGAACCTTGACACAGCCAGGCACCCTCAGAGCTTTTGGGCGCTTAATTTAGCGACTTTTATCCCATTGCTCCGAAGACTTGGGTTCGGAATCATTGTGCGCGTTTGGCCATATGCTGAACTGAGATCTGGGTCTTGAGGGAGCAGTTCTTGTTGCCTTATGAAGAAAAAAAGACGTTTGTCCTTAGCCATTGATATCTGGCCGGTAGTTCGAGGGTGCGGTGCGCCGCGATTTTAAAGCAGATCACATGGTTGGTTAACTGTAAACATTAAACAACCTGCTCTCAGCACCCATTACACGACTCTAAACGTTTTCCCTTCCGCCATTGCTATCAACTACAGAATGGGTCGGCTGTTGTTACCACCCACCCTGCCTGTAAACGGACTTACAGCCCATTAAACCCGTCACGGCCTCATCTGGTTACCATCGTGGGCTGGGTGCTTTGAAGATTGTCGTACACCATCACAAACAACGGCAAAGGAACACACGCCAGCGATAACATGTTCTGCTATGCACTGTTTGTTGCCGGAGCATAGTAGGTCGCCAGGGCATAACATTCCGTTAGGCAGAGCTAGCTACTGGAAGAGGGGGGGGGGGGGGGGCTCGGTCGCGCCACCTTTGAGCTTTGGAGAAGGGTGGAGGTGGTGCCACTGCCAGGGGAATAGGCGAGCAGCGGCGGCCTTGACCAGCCTTTGGCACGCGACCCACCAGTAAGCTGGGCGCCGCGAGCGTGGGGTGGTGTGGAGACCGGGCGCCGGGAGCATGGGGCGGTGTGAGAGACCGGGCGCCGCGAGCATGGGGTGGTGTGAGAGACCGGGCGCCGCCAGCGTGGGGTGGCGTGAGAGACCGGGCGCCGCGAGCGTGGGGTGGATTCAGTCAGTACCAAATAACTGAGTTGAACAAATGACGCAGAGACGATTCCCTCGAAAAGAAGCAGAGTCGGAGAATGGCATCCGTTTAGGTCTTAAACACACTGCATGTCCACATTTCTATCCATGTCTACGTGGATGGCGACAGCATAGCCACGGACACACTCCAGCAGCTCAAGACGGTACAAGTGGTATTACGGCATCGCCACTTGTATCTTAATTCTGACTTTTCAATTGGTTCCAAGCTCCACACTGCGGCAGCGATGCGACGGACGCCGGGAACGCGGCCAGTAGCCTGACCTGACCTGACCTAGTAGCCTGGCCGTTTGCCGCTTGGGCAGCCCGGCACAAGACCGCCCATAAGCGGGCCAGCCTTCCGCAACAGTGCGTCAGCCCCGCTTTGTCAATCTACAGACGACGAGGAGAAAGGCGAAATGGCAGGAGCGCGAGACTTCCTTTTGTGTGCGACGGAAGATTTCTAAACAAGAGTGCATTTTTTGGTTTAGTTTGTCTTGGGCCTTCATCAAGGTACAGATCGTCGCGGATACTTGCAAATCGTGCGTGGCACAAGGTCTTCAGCCAGGAAAGAGACATGACATAGGAACATTGTCCTAAGCAGATGTGCATCATTGGTATCAAGATGCCGACATGGACATTAATATGCCGGCACCCGAAGTCCTTCAGCATCAAGACGCCAGTATCCGAAATCAGCACGTTCTCTTGTACAGCCTAGGAGGCCATCATCTAATGTTCTCTGTTAATATAGCCACCACATCCCTGGGCCCCGTGCCGTCTCAGCACACGTAGATCTGATGGCATGTCCATAGCAGTGACTCCTTTATCCTGAAGTCAACGTTTTGGTGCCTGGATGTGTGAAGTTAGATGGTTTTTAAAAAGGCACGCAGGCGGCAGACAGCCTAAACAGCGACCGCCTATGGGTTGCAGGAGCTCACGTTTGAAAGCACTGACCAAAGAAGGTCGCCAGAAAAAAGCGCTGTTATGTTTTGGACTTTCAATCTCGTCCTATTGTCTATAGAATAGTATTTGAAAATGGGTTTGGACTTGAGACCAGGCTGGTATCGGCCTCGACAGGTCACCGGGAACTGGCGTGATGGCGATGAGGCATGTAACTGTCACCAGGATTTTTGGATGGGTCGTGGCCGACACCCGTTTGTGTAGAGCACAACGACGAGCGGATTGTAGCACTGCACTCGTGTTGTGTCATGAATGTGCGCATCGAATATGCATTACGTGCGCATTATGTGCGCATTAATGTATGCATCATGCGTATTGGGGCACTCAGACGCCGGTATGCTGAATGGCGAGCACCAGCGCGGCCGGGCTGGGCTCACCTGGCCGCCGGGCATTCCAGGTCACCGGGCAGAGGCGCACCCAGGCGCCTCTGCATGTGGGCTCGACACGGAAACGAATGTGGAGAAGGCAGACGGATTCTTGAAAGGGATTGTATTCCACTTGATTATGAGCGTTTGTTCAGCCTACGAGCACCAGCTTGCATGGAGCTCCATGGAAGTATTTCAGGAAGTTGCTTCCCAGCAGTTCACTTTTGTTTTGGATTGTGCCCCTCAGTTCACGCGCCCTGGATACCTGGAACCATTCCTGCCGTCGTATCTCTGCTGCTGGTCCCGCTCCCTTGCCTGTTTGGAACGGTGTTCCCTGCGCCCGCATCTGTCGCTAGTTCTGATACTGTTTCCCATGTGACTGGTGTGAGTCTCCACGCACCTCGCCCTGTTATCTGTCGCGATGCGCTGCCCCGGCCGACCGGCCTGACGCGGCTCGCCTGACGCCAACCGAGTCTCTCTCCGCTGTGTCTGGAGACAAGGTTTCCTCCGCTGTGTCCGGAGAAAGACTTGGTGCTCAGGACTCAGGATGCTCGGGCACGAGTCTGACCGTGCACGGCTCCGTTGCAGATCCTGCTGCTGTACGAGTGCGAGAAGCACCCGCGCGAGCTCGAGTGGGACGACACAGCCATCTACGACCGCATCCTGGGCCTGCTGGTGCAGCTGATCTCGTGCCTGCAGAACCGGCGCTGCCCGCACTACTTCCTGCCGGCGCTCAACCTCTACAAGGGCATCTCGCCCGCCGCCATGGACACGGCCGCCAAGCAGGTGTGGCGACTGCTCAGGGACATCATGTTCAACCCCAAGTCGCTGGAGAAGTTGTGAGAGGAGCGGCTGCGTGCGGGCGCCAGGGGCGGCAGGGTAGCGCGAGAGTTCCACCCCGGGACCGGTGGGCGGCGGGGAGCGCCGTGTTCGTCTGCCGGTCAGACGGAACGGCTGCGACGCACCAGCTGAGAACGAGGTGGGCGTGCAATTGGGAGCGAGAAAGGGAGAGAGATGGGGGAGAGCGGGGGGGGGGGGGGGAGGTGAGAGAAAGCGAGATAGTGGGATCGATTGGTAAATAAGGAGTTGCAAAACGAATGGAAATGATAGTCAGTTCAGCCTATAGGACCCTGCTGCAATACGTTGGTGCACTGCAACACCCACGCATAGACCTGTGAGTACGTGTTCGCCTGTCTGGCCTGTTCTCCGCCTGTGGAAAGACTCCCAGTGAGAACTCCATGCCAGGAGAGTGAGGAGAGTCATGCTATTTATTTTTTGTCTACGTAAATACACCTATTCAGATGTGGTCTGGCGTCTGTTTACTGTTCATCGACGGGTGACCGCAGCGAAGGAGCGAAAGGGTGCGCTGGGGTAGACGGAGCAGCGGGATGGAGGCTCGCTGGGGTGGACGGAGCAGCGGGATGGGAGAGCTCGCTGGGGTGGACGGAGCAGCGGAATGGGAGAACTCGCTGGGGTGGATGGAGCAGCGGGATGAGAGAAATCGCTGGGGTGGACGGAGCAGCGGGATGGGAGAGCTCGCTGGGGTGGACGGAGCAGCGGGATGGAGGACTCGCTGCGGTGGTTAGAGCAGCGGGATGGAGGACTCGCTTGGCTGGCCAGAGACGGCTGGCTGGGAGGACACACCAGGAGCGGGAGCAGCGTGGGAGCAGGCTGTGGTGGCCAAAGACGAAGACCTCCCAGCCGGGCCCGCTGATCAATGTACCGCTGAGAGGCCTGCGCCCGGGCCTCGACGGGGGGCCGCCGGACCGGGCAGCAAAAAGCACCACTTTGGATGGCCCCCCGCCCAGACTGGGCTCGCTTCTCGGCTATGGCACGCCTCACCAGGGACAGATCGTCAGGGAGGAGGAGGCGCAGACCGACAGTGCGGCCGGTCCGTGCACCGACAGAGGGGCCGGTCACGGTCTCTGGACGGCCCGTGGGCCGGTCGCCTGCTGGATGTAGGCGTGGTCAGAGAGGCGTGCTACGGTCTACAGGCCCACAGGGACGCCGCAAGAGCCAGAGCACATGAGCCACCGACTCGGGAGAAGAGAGGGGCAGCCAGTGACGCAAGCTTTCAAAATACTCAGATTTGTCACCAGTCCTAGCGAGCAGCGGCGTGGGAACAAAACGGAAACACCAGCAATGATGCACTACATACAGCCTCAATAGAATAGTGCTGGAAAGCTCTCCACTGTTAAGTACTCAAATTGCGGGATGCAAGCTGCTAGAACTTAGGGAGGGTTAACGTGTTTATCAACGTCCGTTGGAATCACTAACCCTGGTCGTTTGCGCGAAATATGAGCCCTCCGCACGCACATTATGTATGCAGGCTAACAGATCTCGCATTATTTACTGCCACTGCACTAAACGTCAAGTCCGGGGCCATTATCCTCCATCAAGTAAAATAATGCTCGTTTACAGGGTTGCAAATTTGCATTGCTCATAATGGAAATGTCTAAAATACACCATCAGTGAACCAAGGAGCGGTGAGGGATCAATATGCCACGGGGGCGTTTATGACATGGCTTTATTGCGACCGCAACGAATTACGCACGCCAATCAGTGATTAAACTAATCGACAGGAAATTGGAACGTCCTCGTTGCACGTGAGCACTGCGGAGATGCGACAAGCTTATGGTCCCGTCCCGCAGTCAGTTAAACGCGTCAGAACAGTGCAGTTGGGCCATCGCCCCGTGTTCCTGGCCGACAACACCTGTCCAGGAGCACTATCGATGGGAAACACGAACGAACGTTAAGGAGGAGCTGGGAATCCGAGCGCTGTCTCTCCTCTGTGATGGACCTGACATTACGCACAAACATAGGGCATTCACTAACGTCTGGAAGCCAAGCAAAAGGTTATAACAGACTGGCTTGTGCCGGCCAGTGCAGGGGGGCGGGGGGAGGGGCAGTATATTACAATATCTCATTGTATGCGGTGACAATAGCTAGCAAAGGAAAATACAAGCCCAAAACACAACTGTCGTGGCAGTCTTCTACTGGGCTCGACCTGCGTGTTAATTCGGCGTACTGGCCACGATGTAACACGCATGCGGTAAGAATGAAACCAAGAAAGCTTTCGCGGGCCGGATTTTTAAAGCTTCGGTCAATTCGAGGGAGACATCTTGAATGGAGGTACATTGACCCTTATGGTCGGTTCGCTGCTGGAATGCCGGTGCCCGTGCGTCCACCTTCCCCCCCCCCCCCCCCCCCCCTCCTTCCCAGCTGTCTGTGCCCGCCGCTACGCTGGATGACAGCCAAATTGGCCACATCCTCTGCCAGTCAATCATCTTCGCAAACAGGGCCGTGGCTCCTTCACAAATGGAGCCTGATTACCGTAATGAATGTCATCAGCCCCGTCAGCTTCTGATGTTTTGTTTGCTCAAACCAGTGTTGCTAATGGGACCTGCGTTACCAGCGGGGGATTTTCAAATGAGTGGGGCCACTTAAATGCTGAGCAGCACGAAGTACCTCGTGAGTAATTGAAAGTCCTCGCCATGACAAATTACCTGACTGCGGTGACTTGCAGTGTCACAGGCATACAGTCATGCTCGCCCATTTTAGATGGCATGCAACTTTTGACCAGGGGAGCAGCGAGCATGCTCAAAAGGGGGAGGGAATGACCGAATTCTAGAAAACGATCTCGTAAAAAAGAAGAAGTGAGACACGGTCACATCTGGTACTAACAGGAGACAAGGGGGACAAGTTTGCTGGCCCTCTCTCGCCAGCACAGCTGGTTATGCTGTAACACACAACCCAACCCATTTATATGTGCCTGTCCGTTCCCGTTCGGTGAGCTGTCTTTGCAATCTCCCCTACAAACAAAGCAATCCATGCCAGCCTGAGAGTCTGCTTCCCCGCCGGCAAGTCCTACCAAGGGCAGGCGGCAGAGCCGGCGGCCGGGCCAGACGGACCGGAAGCGGCTCAGTTCCGGCCCGCTGGCAGCGGTGCGGCCCACCTGACCGCCGGCCGGCTGTCGTCGCGCGCCGCCGTACTTCAGAGGCAGCGGCCGCGTGCCGCGCGCGCCGCCGCCGCCGCCGACGCGACGCGAGACGGCGGCGGCGCGGCCGAGACGGCGGCGGTGCGGCCGGGGCGGCGCCGTCGGCAAAACACGGTCGCAGCTCGTCAGCCAGGATTGAGGGATTATAGGGTGGTAACGTGACACCGACGACATCTGCCGTCGCTGAACCAAAACAGGCGGCGGCGGCGGCGCACCTGCCCTGGAGAGACATTATTAAAGCTGGCTTAGTTGGGAATATACGTGTTTTGTTGACTTATGCTAGGGAGGCACTCGTTTAATTAGCACTGAAGAGAAAGCTTGTCAGAAAGTAAGGCTCCTCTCCTGTAAATGAGATCTTGTAAGTACGGCATGTCTTCGATGCATGTGGCAATCACTTCAATAGAATTTTCAAGCATGTATTTAATAAAATCAGAGGAAATTTGTGGAATGTGTGGTGTAGTTCGGATCGCCTTTGAGTGGAAGTCTGTAATTTTGACTTCTGTTTACAGCGCAAAGTACCCCACTGTGCTCGTCGTTAAGTCGATCCCGGAGTGTCGTCATGGCAATATCATTACGTAATCCGCTTTGGAGCTTCTCAGCTCACTCTACCAAAAAAGATCGCCTCGAAAGAACGTCAGCAGACATATCAGTCCAGCAAAAGGCACTGATCAAAGACCCTTGCAGACCTGGATATGCAGTTTTTGGCGAACTGAAAATTTAGATGGTGGCATCTTTTCCCCTGCTCCGTTCTGCGTCATAATCTCATTCTGCATGCATATCCAGCGTTGCAGCAAATAAGCGCACAGGCGCGCCAACAAGGAACAATAAGAGCGGGCATCACCGGTCCAGGGATGTGTTTCTGAAAATAACCATGCCTGTGTACAAATGCTTCGCGAAGCTCTTTTGAGTGTAATGTTGAATGAGTGGGATGTCCAGTGAACAGGGCGGAACATTTTGACGTTGTTCGCCAGCTGATAGTAAAATGGAATGATTGCAAAGTCCGCTTGTCACACCTTAAGTTCTTTGATAATCTCTGGGGCATGCTGTAATGGTCAGCTTAACACTGCTGTTGCCTTTTGACAGGCTCCAGAATAGAACTGAAGCGGTCGGACCCATAGCAAATTACTTTTTGGTGAAATGCGCGTGAACGTTTTATCTTCTCCTCATTCTTGTGTACCTGCATTTTGCCGGTCTCTTACTCTTCCTACCTTGTAAATATTTGGCGAAGTTTTGGCCTTAACATAAGTCCTATGAAAAACGAGCAGCCATAGTACTGCTTCCAATTACGACAGCATTTTAGGCTGCGAGCTTTTCTACGATGTCAGCTGAAGATAAACCGCTCACAATTAGAGAGAGGCGGGCAGTTTGGCACTTGCGGGACTAAAAAAGCCCTTCTTAGAATCACATTTTCCCTCCTCTCAGAAAAAGCATAGTTTAGAATTTCTTCGACGGTTCCGATCCCTCTAATGATTCGAGCTGTTTCGTTTCTCAGAGAAATGCTGGGTTGGAGCAACAGATGAATTCCAGTCCAGACCAGGACTGAGAATGGTGGAAACTCTACATCGCTCATTGTAAGACACAAGAACTTGACATCAGGCGTCCCCCAAAACACCAGGCAGACATAAAGGGGGTCTATAACTGCTGCTCCCTGGAGGACTGTCTTTCAGGCGGGCTGCTAACAGGATCCCGCCCCCCCCCCCCCCCTCCTCACCAAAATGCCGTGCGCTCTCCTGCCGGTTCGGTTGGTGCAGGAGCTGAACAGAACAATGCCCAGAACTCTTATTGGTGGCTAGTCAGTCCCGAGTGGAATGCTTCTCTGCAAAGCTGTGTTCACCGCATCCCGCGGTCACTGAAAAAAATCATTTTGAAGAGTTTGCTGTTGGTAAGAAGATAGCATAGCTCAACACCAGGCGGGGTGACGAGGTGTGCGTTGGCACCAACGATGGTGAGAAGACAGCATAGCTCAACACCAGACGGGCGGTGAGAAGGTGTGCGTTGGCACTAACGTTGCGCTTGTGATGACTGCATCCATAACATCCTTTCTTCTCAAAATTCTTGGCGTATAAAACTGTACAAACTGAGAACACATTCTGCGTAGCGCATGAGCACAACAAGTGCTGTTTAGGAAAACCTTGTTAACTAAAGCTATGGCATTTAGCGAAATGTCATGCAGCAAAAAATCTACTCATCGCACAGATGAGCAGATTGTACACTCTTTGCACACGCACACGGCCACATTGAACACATCGTTGAGCAGATTGCATAGCATTGAATACGTGCATGCTGTATATATTGATACCGCACAATCGA